GACTTATTTGAAGATATTTTTTATTTGGTTTGATATTTATAACATAAACATATATTGGTTTGCTTTTATCAAATTTTTGAATATTTGAAATAATTATCGCTTCACAATAAATTTCGGATCAACATTTGATCATAGCGGACCCGGATTGAGTGTGAACCAGATTATTAATCAGCTAAAATTCTAAACCCGTAAACTATCAAACCAGATAAAAACAAAGAAAAAAACTTTAAAACTTCTCGGTCTGGATGGCCCAAATATATTTGTCATGCGGGTTAAACCCGTCCGCTATGCATGCTTTGCAACAGATTAAAATAATTTTAACCCCCAAAAGATCCATTCAACATAATCTTCATTAATGGTATGTCTGCATATGTCTTTCTTGAATTTGCATTACCATAAATTTTTATCTCCAATTTTATTAGGAAAAGTTTACATAATTATTTTTATTTTCCGAATTACTGTTCTCTCCCCGTACCCGTTATTTCTTGTAGTCTATACTAATAAATAGTAGTTTCACATCTACCCTACTTGAATTCACATTACCCAAAATTCTCGTTACTCCGTATTTTATTAGGTATAGTTTAGATAATGGTTTTCATTTTTTCTAAATTACTCGTTTCCTTTCCGTACTTGTTATTTCATGTGCCAATATTTGCAATAACAAAGAAAGTTAAAATTAAATTCAGCTATTTAAATATCAACTTACTGTATCATACCAGTTATCTAATATTTAAAAATTAAAATTGAATTTAACTATCCAAATATCGACCTTTTTGTTTCCTCAGTTTTAATTTCTTCATCTAGTCTAGTAGTTATAGTATGGACTATGTACTAATTATATGTAATATTGAATTTATCTTTTCCGTTTAGTAGAACAAACAAAACGAATAGAACAAAGAAAATAAAGAATCTGAATTTATTATGGTTTCTTTATGTTGTTTGTTTTTAAATTTTTTTTTCTCTACACATCTGAAATTAAAGCTGCTGAAAATCTTGTTTGAATTATTTTCATAATATTAGTTTTGGAAATGATTCCGATTTGAGATTTTGAACTTAATGATTAATATCTATGGTATTAAATCGATTTTTTATATAAACACACAATCATGTTACGGTGTTACCTATTTTAAAGCATGGTAAATGGTATTAAGTTTGTTTTATTTGTTACGGATATTAGATTTTTTTTTTTCCTTTTTTTTACGCTGGGAAATTTTATTAATTAAGTGGCTCAGTTACAAAAATTAAAGCAAATAAAATTTTTAAAAACAAAAATTAAAGCAGATAAAATTTGTAAAAACAAAAATTAAAGCAAATAGATTTTGTTTACAATTTTTTTATAATTTAGTAAGATTTTTTAAATATTACAAAGTATTTAGTTTATATATATATTAGTTATGGTTAACACTAATTGTGAGTGACCTAAAAAATGCTCCCCTTTTAATTCTGTTTGGCTATACTTCTAAAAAATGCTCCCCTTTTAATAGTATAGATAAATATGTTAGTATTTATTTTCAACAAAATTTATATCAAATTTGCAAGCATATATAATAGATTCTATATAAAATCTGCATAAGACATGAATTAAAAAATTTAAACAATTCTTATGGAGAATAATTAAAATTTTGGTAATAACATAGTTTTAGATTTTATATTGTTAGATTTTTGTTTTGGGGTAAACTGCGCAATATATTTTTTTGAGAATTTTTGAGAAATGCCCCTTTTAGTTTACCCCTTTTTAAAAATACCCCCTTTATCTATCCATTTTCAAAATTACCCCTTTTTAAATATAAAAATTATAAAGTTTTATATAGTTTATAGGGAGATTTGCACAACTAACCTTTATTATGATACCCTTTTCTACAAATACCCTCTCTAGGTGTTCATTTTCAAAAATACCCTATTCAATGTACAAATGACTAAATTACCCTATTTTATTATAACCCATGATGAAAAAAAGAATATTCTTCCAACAAAAAGAATATTCCTTCCGAAAAATTTCCCGCCAAATTTTCCCGCCAAAAATTTTCGGCAAAAAAATTCCGTCCAAAAAAATTTTCCCGCCAAAAAAAAAATTCCCGCCAAAAAATTTACCGCAAAAAATTTTCCCGCCCAAAAAATTTTTACAGCCAAAAATTTTTTTCCGCAAATTTTCTTAAAAAAAACCCTTGT